CAAGCCCGACCTTGTTGAAGGCGCAGCATTCCATGACCATCGCTGCCAGGCGTGGACGCGGAGATTCGACATGCAACGATACTTACGTGAGGAAGAGCGACACTTTCAAGCATCGACATTGCTATGCCATTGTCCATACTAGTGCAGGGCAAGACATTAACCCAGCCCTTGCATGTCGTGCGACTTTGTTCTACTGACAAGGTTTGTGCGATGGCTCTGACCACATGTAGGTAGTATCAGTCGTGCGCGACAGAGATGGCTCGCCGTCGGCGTCTCACATGAGAAAAGAATACCAGAACTGAGTTGCTGCTCCATACAAAAACAATGTTTAATGGCTGGCACGCTAACGTTGCCAGCCGTTTCACTGGCCTTTTCGACATTGCCGTTGTGAAGCGGATCGTTCCGAGGGGCTGCTGCGCGAGTCCGTGGTATACAAATCCCGTTCTTGTACGGCGCGGCACAGCTTCCCACGGCCACTCGTTCGATCGATGGCTCAGCCAGTTCGATCAAGGCTTTCCATGGTCATTGATCGTCCAATGGCAGCATCTTGTGTGTAGAAAATGCAGCGTGTGGGTTTGATGGTATTTACAGTGCTGTCAACAGTGCCGTAGTAGCCTCCGGCTTTTAATGGCCTCAGATGTGCAAATGGAACTACGTTTCCTGCCACGTTGTTGCGTCTCATGCAAGCGGCGCAGGACGCAACCTACTCCCGATGGTCGTGTTTGTTCCTCAATCACGTCAGCCCGAGGGCATAACTCGATGTGCACTGTCACGTCTCGCCGAGGTCTCTTGGCCCACAAGCATCGACCACCTCGTCTTGCAACGGTTGAAGCCGAATTCGCACCGCATCGATGGGTTCGGGAAGGCCACTGCGAGACGTTCGTTGCCATTCTTGATCGACGTGGTGCATTGCGCTGGTGCGATGGCGTGTGTATGGTCGGTCATTTGAATGTAATCCTGCCGAACGTGGCCGACTGCGCGCGAGACAATAATGGGTCTGATGACATCAAACATCGACCAGACGCTGCTGGCTGCTTTCCATTTTGACGGCTCAGAGCCACACATTGGCAACCTCGTGTCTTGTCGCCAGCGTGTTTGCTTTGCAAAGCAGCCATGTTGTTACCATGTGACTGATTACATCAAGGCCGGACGCGTCTCGAAGACATTACGAAAGGTGTGTACCGTACAGAGTATACAAACCGTCAGCGTGTCCAATTACACTGTATCCACGTGGATTGAAGACAGTGGGATACGATTACATCGAAATCAAGATCTTTCCGTCTTGTCACGACAGCAAAAGCGCACAGTTTTGCATTTGCTCTCGATTGCCATGGCCGCCGGAACACCCGAAACGACATCGGTGCACGCCAACACGAGCATCATGCAAGGCGGTGGCGCCTACAACGAAACCGCGGTCGTTCAAATGACGCTTGTCGACTACACCAAAACGCTGCTGCACACGCAGCTCGATCGGTACATCACGACATTGCCGTCGACTTTGCATGCGCTCACTGTGCGCATCGCCGACCTTGGCGCGTCCGAAGGCCGCAACTCGGTGGCGCTGTTATCGACAGTGCTTGGTTACCTCGAGTCGCGCCTGCCATCGTCCATGGAGCGCGAGTACTTTGTCATGCACGAAGATCAACCCGACAACGACTTTGCGTCGCTCCTCTCGACGCTGCGGGCGCCCACGTCGTACGTGCAGTCGACACCGAACGTCTACACGAGCGTGATCGCCAAGAGCTTTTACGAACGCCTCTTGCCGTCGTCGTCGGTCGACATTGTTGTCTCGTACATATCGCTGCATTGGATGTCGGCGATCCCGATGCCGCTGCCCGGGAACTACATGACGCTCAACGCGCCGACGCGCGCCGCGCTTCCCGACGTTTGCGCAGCGTGGGCTGCCGCGTCGCACCGCGACTGGGTCCACTTCTTGCGTCTCCGTGCGACCGAGCTCGTGGATAATGGCGCCATGTGTCTCACGATGGCGGGGTTCGCCGACCACGCTGTCCAAGTGGCGTGGGCCGACGTTGTACCGAAAGCGCTTGTCGAGTGCGTCCGCCTCGGGTGTCTCTCGCAGGCATCGATGGACAAGATGACGCTTGGCGCGTACCTCCGGACGTGCAACGAGGTGCGCGCGGGCGTCGCCGAGGTGCCGGATTGGGAGCTCCACGAGTGCCAAATGATCGACATGCCAATTTTGGTGCCGACTGCGAAAGCCGGCGCGGCCTTTATGGTGGCGACGACGACGCCGTCGATTGTCTCTGTCATGACGCCCGACGAGCGCAACAACTCGGTGTTCCACGCAACGTTGGCCGCGCAACTGGAGAAGCAGTTTGAACGCAACGTGACGATGGACGGCGTGACCAAGCCGCTGTATGCGCTCTTGGAGATGCGCTACTTGTACTGCGCGTTGACGCGCAAGCCGCGCACGGCATCGATGAAGGCATGAGGACAATACCGTTGTCGTTCACAGTCTCAATACCATCGATTCCGAAATGACACTTGCCACAATATAACGTTAGTACATTTTTAGTGTTGTCAAGGGATGTTGTGTGCGCGTTATCAAGTAGCTATTTCAGAGATGTATGACTACCCACCCGAGACATGCTGTCTATCGACCGCCGAGAGCTGTCGCTATTGTCTCGGTCAGTTAAAGTGGCAAGCTCGAGCACCGCTCGGACAATAAGTGCTGATACCGGTATCTCCGACAATAAGAGCTGATGTATGCATTGGCTCCAAATCTGGGATACTGCGACCGGTTGCCTCGTAGGTAGCTACGAACGTACAAGTAGCTCAAACCAGCACAAATGCGCCGTGTATGCACACGAAGCAAGTACAAGGGGACGACGGGACAACCCTACACCTATCTACAAGGGATAGGGTACATGGCCTCGTCCGAGCGGCGACAAAATCACGCTCTGAGACATACACTTGGCATGATCGCGGTATACTCGGATAGCCTCAACGCACTTCAAGGCAGTACGTGAGCATGGCCCAAAGCTGTCATACGACGAGCGGCAGTGACGGACAGTGTTGTCAAACGAGCTGCCGATGCACGACACTTTTGTTCGCTGTTCTGAGTTTGTTGCACCGAAGCTGAGGTAGGGCCTTGGACGAACTCGTTCCGCAAGCGCTCGCCACAAGTAGCTTTGTTGGTGAAAGCTACCACGTGACGGGCTAAAGCTTTTGACGTACCGGCCTTTGCTTGCCGAGCCCCGCGGCACGATCTGATTTGTGTGCCACGGACACGGAGGTGGTATGTATCGGGGCCGGAGAGTACTCTGTGTTGATGAGAGTGTACATGCAGAGCCGATGTTGACGAACGGTGGTATCTGTTGAAGACAACCTGCGGCGGCCACGAACAAGTCTCCTAGGTTCGTTTGGCTTTTGGATAGAGCCGTGCATCCTGTCTCGTGGCTTTTCCTCTGGGACACCACTGTCGGTAAGCTACTTTTGGCTCGTAGTATCCAAAGGCGAGCGGCAACTGACCGCGCAACCGAGTATCCCGCTCATCGTTGCCGCGCTAAGACGCAGTGGCGGTAGTGGCGGTGAGAGCGACTTGAAGCAGCGTATTTCACTAGCGTGCATGCTGCAGTTGACTGCGTTTGCCTGGATACATGGACTGTCGTCACCGACGCTCGTTGTGTTTATGCGTCCGACCAGAGCCATCGAATTGGATGGCAAGAGACAAATTATTTTGGCCTGTCCGGCTTCAACGCACGTGTCGAAGACATCAACGCCATCATTTATGTGGAAGATCCAGACCTTGATATGAGTCTGGGAACACTCGCGCTTGTAAAATCGTACTCGTTTCCACTCCCCTTCCCGACGGACCCGCCCGACGTGTTGCCTCGTCGGCTGATGTTGAAATGCTCCTTTTGGCCTGTACCAGCTTGGCCGATGGTGTGGGAGGAAATTAGCCGAACCGAGTTGACCGGTTCGCGATATCGACACCCATGAAGACATGCACTGCGCCGAAGTAGCCGCAATCTGAGCAACGAACGACGGCCTCGCTTAGTCACCGAGCCCGTGTGGCGACGTGACAACGTCTGTCGAAGTTCGAAGATATATTGTGCCAAATAGTGTTAGCAATAGCGAGATTCGTTTCGCGTCCCAGGTCGCGTACGTGGACTCGTACACTGACGTAGCGCGATAACACGCTCCAAACACCTCCTGTGATGCTATCACGCCCACCGCGCCAGCGGCAGAAGGTCGTCGAAGCGCCAAGACGCCGTGTCATCGCGTTCGGCTCCGCGTCGCACCCTTGTATGACGCAGCCATACCGTCGAGTGCAACAGGTTGGGCCACACAGTGGCAAGAGCCTGCCTGATACGAGGACGGTCGTTCTTCTGAGTCGGTTGGCTCTCTCGACAATGTTCACACCAGTCGCACCTCGCGTCACAACCAGAACGTTGCGCGAGAAGCTACAGCCTGATCCACGTTCACAGCAATCTGGCACACGAGGTCAACGACAGGCGATCCCTACCACCACCACCACCACCACCACCACCATAAGTAGTTCAATGGCCAAGCTACCACGTTACCATCAATCATAATCCTGAGAGCTTGCCCACATAAGTGTCGTCGACCTCTCAGAAATGCACCCAATAGAAAGAAAAGTGCCTACAAGCCTGATAGCCGGCTCTGCGATTTGCCATCACACCGACTGTGTTGACGCGATGCCGACAACGTGCCGTAGCCGCGCTGCCACGTCCGACCTGAAATAGTGTATGTTTGTGTCGTAGACACGTATCGAAGTTGCCATCTGCATGCCCCTTTGGCCGCTCAGATCAGACGCCGCGAGTAGCTTCGAAGCAAGGTGGTACCGCGCCACCGTAGTACGACGCAAGCGAGTAGCACCCTCGCCGCTCACAAGTGAATTCGTCGTCTCAAGCACAGCCGATGGTCGCTGTCGTCGAGTGGTCGGTCGCACTCCCCGACGGTTTTGCGGTCCGCGTCCAGAAAGACATGTTGGACCTTGTCCACGCGTACTCGGACAGCTCGCCCGAGACGCGCGAGATCGACGCGTACCAAGCAGGGTACAAGGTCGCGCACGAGTACATGACGTCCAAGGTCTTTTCGCGCAAGTGCGAAACATCGGGCTACAACGAATTCCTTGTCGTTGGGAACGCCGATGTCACGATCGACGAGTACGTCGAGCTCACCTACTGCGAGTGCGAAGAGACCTTTCGGACGCAGCAGACGCTCTTTTATGCCGAGAACCTCCTCGACGCGCGCGTCCTCAACGTCTCGCTGGCACGCTGCGACGACGATCCGTTCCGACACTTTGGCGTCCGCTACAAGAAGATGAACATGGCGTACAATGGGGTGTTTGCGCCGCGCGACACCACGTACGTCGAGGTACATTTGTCTTCTTTTTCTACGATTTTCACAGTTGGAATGCTGATCTAGTGCACCGGCTCGTTTGTCAACAAGAAGGGTCTCCGCGGCGTCTACTGCGTGCGCGAATCGATGGATTTTGACGAGGTGCCCGAGATGCCGGGGGTCGTGCGCTTCTACATGAAGGCAATGTTTCTTCTCACCGAAGCCCGTGACGGCAGCGTCGAGCTCCTTCAAGTCATGACGGCCAACCCGCTCGGAAAGCTGCCGGCTTGGATGTTCAACAAGACGTCGATGGCGTACAGCCACATGAGCGACGACTACGCCAAGTATTTGCAGCAAAAGCGGCTACTGGCGTACGTGGCCTCGAAGCGCAAGCCGCGGCACCCGATCAAGTACGCGATGCCCGCCCATGTCCATTTTTTCTTATTTTTTCAATTTCTAGAAAAGCCAAGGTGTGCTCATCGTGCGCCGGTGCGTTCCGGGGGCTCCGCGCGCGCCACGAGTGCTGGGGCTGTCGCGAGGTACGCCCAAATGAAGGAACGGCTACGATTGCTAATATCTTTGTGGAGCAGAGCATGTGTGGCAAGTGCGTCGTCCCGATCCCGCGCGCGCTTGTCGGCGTCGACGGCGCGATGAAAGCGGTGTCAGAAGAATTTTGCAAGCGCTGTTTTCTCCAAGCACGATCGTACCGAACATCAAGCAGTGCCAGCTCGTTCCGTACGCCCCGACAAAAATTGTGATTCGATTCTCATCATTAATCGGCTAGGGCTGCATGCGTCGGACGACACGACCGAGCACTCGCACCACTCGAACCAGACGCGGTCCAGTTCGGGCAACGAAAGCTACGCCAAAGACTTGGCCGACGACGACGATGTCCCGATGGCGCCGCCGCAAGCCGCACCCGCACCCGCCTTTGATGCAATGGACATTGAGTCGCATTTGAGCCAACTGCAGCTCGGCATCGAGACGCAACGGTATCTTGTGGCGCAGATGCGGTCGCGACTCGAAGCCCAAGCCGTCTAGTGGTTGTATTTACGTTGATATAGTAATATTGTACACTGTCTGTGAAAAGATAAAGACTAAGTCTCAAGTCCGTCCTTTGACGCGCCGACCAGTGGACCGAGCGCTCTGTTGACTGATCGATTGATCGATCTATGGAAAAACGCTAAAGAACGCGCTACTGAGCACCTTTCAGTCACAAAGTCTTTGCGAGAAGAATACCTGGATAGAGCAAGGATAGATGAATAGATGGATACATGGATAGATGGCTGGATAGACCGATAGCTTGAAACGACGCGACTTGCCACGCAGTGTACACCGCAATGTTGGATACTGGCGTAAACTCGGTGGCTAG